TATAATGAAATATGTGCATGTATGCATGTATTAATAATATTCTTAATTACAATTCTTGTTGCTACTAGTAGTTGTATTTAACAATTTTTACTACTCTTATTATCAAAGTGAGTAATTATTCGTCACCACAGCACAGTGCACAGTGCAAGTGTGTGTAGTGATTTTTTTATGCTTTGGGACAATTGATGCTGTAATAATATACGATTTTAATACAGTATATGTTTAATATAATAAACTTGACAAACCTTGTTGCTGAGTGAGTGTTTGAATCTCAGCAACAAACTCCGAAATTGTTATCATCTCATCAGCAAATTCATTTTCAATCAATCGCCCACTTGCCCAATGTACACTGCTTTCCATTGTAGTCATTCTATTATAGCAAAATAGAGATATTCAAGGAAACGCTAAGGGTATAAATCATACTAACAGCTGTTATATTAAAGTAGTGAAAAATGAGTTACTTCGTCAGTATTGTGCCTACATTAGCTTGTACATTATTAGACAATGCCAGCCGGGTGTATTCTGTGAATATCTGTCATGGATCCGGACGGCACGGGAATGGGAACGAGGCATGGTACACAAAGAAGGGGCGGACGACCCACTTGCGGCTCCAGCAAACAAAACGGGGTTTATTAAATAAAACAGAAAACACTACAAACACAANAATTAGCATACAGTACCTATACAGCACACAGGACTAACAAAAACAACAACATGACAGACGATTTTCCGAAAGTAAATTTTAATATTTACGGTGAATATGAAACTTTCAACAACTGGGCTGCAGCAGTATTAGACAGTCCAGATGAAAAACAACATAAACGGAAGCGGACATCAAAGGCAACCAGCAACAACAAAAGACATAAAAGACATAATTATTAGAAAAATAATGCACACCCGAGGTGTAACGGCCACTCCGCTTCGCGTCGTGGCCGCATTACCACCTCGGGTGTGCATTATTTTTCTAATAATTCAACGGCCCGTCGTCAATTATTCCTTACGTACCACACCCTTTTCTCATTTGAAACATTGCACACTGTGGATTTGTACTCACATCTTTACAGATCCTCTCCTGGAGCTGACACCTTATCATGGTGGAGGGGTTTGCATGTTCCAATGATCCCAGGAGCTAACTTACCTGGGGCTTTATACCCCTGGTAGGGTCACCCAAGGCAAACAGGTCCTGGGTGAGGAACCAGACGAAGTGCGGCTCACAAGAAAAACAATGGATCCACGATTTCCCTTGCCCGGGACCCCCCCGGAGCCAGGCCTGGGGGTGGGGCTTGATGGTGAGCACCTGGTGGCCAGGCTTTCTCCCATGGGGCCTGGTTGAGCATAGCCCAAAGAAGGCACGTGGGTCCCCCCTCCAATGGGCTCACCACCTGTAGGAGGGGCCATAGGGGTAGGGTGCAGTGCGAGTTGGGCAGTGGCCAAAGGCGGGGACCTTAGCGGTCTGATCCTCAGCTGCAGAAACTAGCTCTAGGGACATGGAATGTCACCTCTGTGATGGGGAAGGAGCCTGAGCTGGTGTGCGAGGTTGTGAAGTTCCGACTAGATATAGACGGGCTCACCTCGACGCACGGCTTGGGCTCTGGAACCAATCTCCTTGAAGGGGGTTGGACACTCTTCCATTCTGGAGTTGCTCGTGGGCAGGGGTGGGCATACTTATTGCCCCCTGCCTGGGCACCTGCACATTGGGGTTTACAGCAGTGGACGAGAGGATAGCCTCCCTTCGCCTTCGGGTGGGGGGACAGGTCCTGACTGTTGTTTGCGCTTATGCACCAAACGGCAGTTCAGAATACCTACCCTTTTTGGAGTCCTTGGAAGGGGTATTGGAGAGCATTCCTCCTGGGGACTCTCTTGTTCTACTGGGGGACTTCAATGCTCATGTGGGCAATGACAGTGAGACCTGGAGTGGCGTGATTGGAAGGAACGCCCCCCCCCCGATCTGAACCCGTGTTTTGTTATTGGACTTCTGTGCTCATCACGGATTGTCCATAACGAACACCATGTTCAAGCATAACCTCCTGAGACCCGACCTATTCATTTATGTCCATTGTAGTGGACATTGTATTTTTGCATTTATTTTTTCACTGATGTTGGGAAACGTATTTATTCTTGTTGTGCTCTAAAGAGGACATGCTGTGAAATTAAAATAAGAATAAATTTGAAAAAATCTAAATTGTAAGATGTCTTATTTCCTCCAAAGACAAATAACTTACAATTGAAGGACACTTTTTTCCTTGGGTCTCAGGAGGATAAGGGTGTCCATATGTGTACTTGGCACCTGGACACCCTAGGCCGCAGTTTGATGATCAACTTTGTAGTCGTGTCATCGGACTTGCGGTCGCATGTCTTGGACACTTGGGTGAAGAGAGGGACGGAGCTGTCAACTGATCACTACCTGCTGGTGGGTTGGCTCCGCTGGTGGGGAAGGAAGCCGGCCAGGCCTGGCAGGCCCAAGCGTATATTGAGGGTCTGCTGGGAACGTCTGCCGGAATCCCCTGTCAGGAGGAGCTTCAACTCCTACCTCCAGCAGAGCATCTCCCATGTCCTGGGGGAGGCAAGGGACATTGAGTCCGAATGGGCCTTTTTTCGTGCCTCCATTGTGGAGGCGGCTGATCGGAGCTGTGACCGTAAGGTGGTTGGTGCCTGTTGCAGCAGCAATCCCCGAACCCGCTGGTGGA